ATCCTAATAGGGATGGCCTCCATCCTAATAGCTATGGCCTCCAACCTGACAGCGATACTAAAGATACTTACAGTAGGTTGGCGCCGTGGTAGGGCATTGAAGTTGTATTACATGCATCAACCCACGTCTAATTATGTTGGCGTGATGACAACTTCCGCCATGATGGCTGCTTCCATGGGCCACAGCTCGCTCCGCCAGGATGTCAACAGTGCGGAGGCCTCCGCAAGCACTGTTCCAGTTTGCTCAAACATGAGTGGACTCCGACTGCCCCGACTGCAGCACCCTTCCTCTAACTTGTTTTTGTCGGGGACTTTTGACCAAAAGAGCGAGGCCGGCTGTTTGCGTCAGGCGTAACCAAACACTCGGTAGACATACTCGAGGTCAGGAGAAGAGCATGAGAGCCAAAAGAAAGTTCTAGCCTTTCTGTGCCCAACTTGCCAACCCGGCAGAATGAAGAACCGATCTGTCTGTTCATGTCACCAGAGAAGAAGGTACTTGTATATAATTCCATTTAAGGAAGATACCAAAGTGAGATCGATACCTTGCAAAGTCAGTGAGTCCCGAGGTGAATGTATTGCAATCCACCAATCAGCAATACTGCATACTGACGCTGGTCAGCGTACATCACGAATTTTGCCCTGCCCGGACTTGCCCCCCCTAACAAGCTGTTGTTTTCGATGAAGCAACGCACATTACACTTTCACAGCATCGATAGGGTTCATCCTTCCCCTCTGAGCCTTCAGCACAGTAACTCATGGCCTCGCAAGTGAGTGGAGCGAATTTCTGCGACCTCTGAAGCCAATGTGGACAAAACCTTAGCACCCTTTCAACATGGAAGTGCATTGTGCGTGTATGTGTTTTCAGAGATGCCCTGTCAGACTTCAGTGATATCTCTGTCGGAGTGGGCGTCTCTGCCCATGGATCATGGCCTTGAGAGACTTCATTTCCAAAGGCCATGCCAAAGCCATCGCAAAAGGCACCAAAGGGCGCTGACTGTTACAGCATGTGAACTATTCTGGGTTCTGGAACTCAAGTTCATCTTCCCCACAGCATCTATATCATAAGTGTCAACTAAATGATTAACGTGTGGCTTCTTTGTGACATGATCCCTGTCTCTTGCACTCTCCAACCCTCGCCAAATTAAAAAAACTGCAGAACCAAGCTCAGAAAAGTGATCCTCCCACAATAGCCTTGGTCATTGGTGTTTGGAAAGTAAAAACTCAGGTTTGCCAAAGCAAGCGCTTGACGCCCCTTTTTTTGGCTGTCCGGATCATGCTGATCATGGTCTTTCAGTGAAGGGCAAAGGCCAGACCCTACCATAGGCGTTGCGGCTACCTGAGCACTTGAACATAACGGGATGTTATGTGTCTTTGGCTGACCCTCTTCCAAAAGCACACCTAATACCTACCACGCTTGTGGCGCGGGTGCGGAAGTGCTAATTGATCAACCGAGAATCTGAGATTGATCCCAACCCTGACCCTGCTGATTTGGAATTCTCTAGCTCACATCCCACTTGGGCGCCTCGACTAGGGTAGGGGTTTATTCCGTTCCAGCCGGTCCTCACGCGTCCCAAAACTGGAGCCCACAGCTCCAGACCCAAGGCGAAGCGGCAAGCGGCAAGCGGTCGCTGAAAAATTGGGGCGCCGTCGGCCCGCGGTGGAGCGAAACTCCGTTGAGTTTGGTGAACATTCAGACCAATTCTCATCTTTCATCATCTTTCTGCTCATGATACACCCTCCTGGGCCTCTTCTATCATCCGGTCAGGTTGGCATCAGCTACATGTTGTCTGAATCTTGTTCCCCAGCTTGGACTTCCACACCAGCTGCTTGCGGTTCTGAGACCGCTCAGCATGCACACTGCCGACAGTGCGGCAACTAACAGGCCGCACGCATGTGCGTGGCCCTGCTCAAGATCTTGCACTAACAATCTGCAATCAGCATGGCGCCACAAGACATGGCGGTCTAAATTGCTGAAAAGGTTTCAGCGTAGAAGCCCAACTGAAGACTCCGCAAAGACCTTGTTTGGACTGGACTACCCGAAAGGAAGAAGAAAACAAAATGGTGTGGCTCCTGTGTGTCTCACAACTTCCGTCAATGAGCACGTCTGGTGAACCAGCACTCACGCCACGCGCTTGTGTCCCAAGCTGATTCCAGCACAATCGGCCCGTATTAGGTTGGCCATGCTGCAAAAACCACGAGTCAGAGGCAGTTTGACTTTGTATCTCTGAACCTATGAGTCCCTGGAAGGTAAACACTTTGCTGCACAAGACATGAACTCTGTCGATGGGTCTGCAGACGGTCTGCACCCTTCTTTCGTCCTTCCAGGATCTCATCACACCCTCGCTTGAGAATGGCAAAACGATTTACGGCACATCTGGCTTCTGTTGGCTGGGTGTGCTATCACCATGCCTTGTAACTCACGGACAGGAGCTCTTTCCCAACTGTTCACCACCACTGGTTTGTCTAAGGCTTCTCTCCCGAAATTATCAAGCCCAGCCCGGATTGAAGCACGGGTACCTCGCCCCCTACGCAGGTTGTGGAAAGGGAACTGATCAAAGTGTCTCGGACGAGACCTTCCACGCAGGTGTCGCTTGCACTGATACTTCATATATTGTCATAAGTCTCAGTACCAAGCCATGAATAGCATGAATGAATGTGTTACGGATCGACGTGTCGACGCAGCCGATCCTGAGTCAAGGCTCCTTGCAACCGACTCTTGCAACAGTCTCAGCCACTCTGTGCGGCCTGCAGCCTTAAATAGGGTCTCAAGGCAGCGCCACCTGAAATTCAAAAGCCTCCTAGTTGTCCTGATGTTTTTGGCACTTTCTGAGTTGCAGGGGTTCAGGGAGAGTGAGCGAAGGTTGTAGCTCATCTATGGGATCTATGGCTCATGATTGTGCCCTACTGGCGCTCGATCGAATGGCTGCAGAGGTAGCGGCACATCCCCCCAGGGATCCACTTGCGCTGAGTTCATCCCGCAAAGCAGCTCGCCCCCCCTGTGCCACAGGGCGGTCTGGCAGCAGCTTCTTTGGAGGAATTTCATGGAATTTGGGTGAGAAAGCTGAACACTTCGGGCTGTTCAATGCTTTTGTCAGATAACTTCGGTGTGCACAGCTGCTGCCCTCTGCAAGAGTTGCTCAGCAGCTTTCAGGGCAACAACAAGCGTTCGCGTCTGAAAATTGTGCTCACATGGTTGCAAAATAAAGTCATCAGAATAAGCAGTATCTTTCCACACATTATGAAACTAATGGGGAGGAGCTCATCATGAGTTCTTGCCCTGAAGCTTTGCATTTTTAATTGTTTTTTGGAAGATTTTTTGCAGGCGTTCTGCAGAAGCTTACCTTCTGCGCGCACTTTCTTTTTTTGTTTTTTTGGCTCATTTTCTAGCAACGTCTTTTTTTTTGGAGACTTCAGTGCTGCTCGCCAACCTCAGGGTGCGGACACGGACCAGCATGCATGCTACGAGTGCATACTAAGCCAGATTAATTGGCAGCCGAGCACAACAATGAACACGCCTCGGGCCTCGCACAAGAACTAATCACCGGCATCCGAGGACCCTCCAAAAGTCACGATACGGTCGAGCGGCTCAATGTCAAGGAGCTGGCTGAAGGAGGGCGTGCATGTGGTGCCATCTTTCCATGCCTGACAGGAGAGCTTGGGTCATAAAGGGTCATGGCCTACTTCATGATCAATTAGTGCTACGGTAGTCGACTCCACAGCATGATCAGCATGTGAAGTGCTCCAAGTCTGTCCAATCGTGTGCATGTAGAGGATGTATGTGTAGCGCAGATGTGTTAAAGAGTTCGATCTTTGCTTTCTTCATTCCTTTTACTTACTATCCGATGTCCAACCTGCAGATTTCCTGGTCCAGAGTCCAAATGGTCCAGTGCTTGCAGTGTACGGCAATCAGTCGGACGCAGACTCACACTCTTCACACTCCATCGTAACCCAACATTGCTCCCACACCTTCGGGATCCAATTTCCATCGGTTCCTTTCTCGTCGCAGGTACTTCCCCCTGCATTGGCCTGGGCATTCGGCCTTGAGACACTCAGCACTTCATCTTAAATGCTTCTCCGGTGATCAACGGAATTGCAAAAGAGTTGAAATCACGAAGCTTGCCCCACATATCTAAGCTTATAAGGGCTCACTGCAGTGACTAAACCTTTTAACGACATCCCGCCTCGGGTGACCATGGGTTGCAGCGCTGCCAAGCACACAACCTCACAAGCCTGGAACCTGAGAGGAAAAGTGGCCGAACAGTGCATTCATTCCATTTCATTCCTCCCAGCACTCAGGGAAGAACTCTGAACAAACGTAGCAAACCTTCCGGGAGCCAGGATTGCTACGAGTGCTGCGACGTTGAGAGGAATTGCAACAAACGTCGAAAAGTATTCTACCCGTGCCAACTTAATTTCTCCTACAATCAAGTATTCTCGTTGGTTCAATTCTCCAACGCTCGTGCGGCCAGGACGCCAACGCTCCTTCCCTGTGTGAGGTGTTAGGAGCCCATCGCATTCTCGAACCTGCGGAGATGGTGCGTAGAAACATCTCTCCGAACCCCTAGTTAAGAAAAAGGGACATCAAGTGCTCTGCGCTCTTTTTCTTCCCCCTTTTTGGCCGCAAGCCGTCCCAACGCCATGCAGCTGGTGTGACTTCGAACCCACTCAATGTCATATCACAGCATCACGAAGCCACTCACGTGGCTAGACACCACCCTTGCCTGGCACAGCTGCAAGGCCAAGCTGCTCTGCGCATCACGGCGGTGGAGGAAGGGCGCTGTCCAGCCATGCTTGGGTGACACCTCCCCATCCGGATCGACCGAAGAGGGCAAAATGGCCCATGCCACCTATGGAAGCTAGTAGGAACAAGTGCATCGCTACTAGTAACAAGTGCCGTACTAGTAGTAACAAGAAGCTACTAGGAACAAGTGCATCGCTTCTAGTAACTAATTTAACTTAATTCTATGGTGCACTCCTTGGTTCATCCATGCTACAGAGACAGAACATCGGACGCCTGGGTGAGGATGCCAACGGAAAGCTCACCATCGCGCAGCACGATGACCTTAGACCACTACCATGAGCATCCCAACATTTCCATGATATTCATGTCGACCTACATGTACATTCTATCCTTGGTCCTTGATCATTTATAAACGACCAGCTCTGTCCTTTCATCCCAAGCGGCACCAGTACTTTGGGAAGGCATCTCTGCAGGCATTGAGTTGCAAGACTGGGAGGTCTCTGTGAAAAGTTCCTCAAATCAGGGCACAACAAAATGTTTCTTCAGCTTCACAAGTGAGGTCTCAGCGTCTCAGTGTTACATGAGCGCTTCATTGTAACTTTACTTCCGAAGAAACCACAGCACGCCTGAAACTGAAAAGTGGGTGGTTGCATTAGACGTTCCACTTTCTTGTACCAGTGCCATGCTACTGGACACCTTCAATGCAGAAAAAAGATAAAGCAACACCGGGGACATCCGACCGCCCAAAAGTGCACCACCCCACGACCACGGCTTCGCACCTCCAAGGCTTCGCTGCCTGCACCGCGAGAACTTTCACCATCAGATTCCAGTGCCAGCGCTGAGAGGCGCTGGGCGCGCTGGAGCTCGTAAGCGTGGAGCAGCCCTGAAGGTGAGGGGCGAACTCACACGCAGGCTTCCTGGCTCTCCACTACCAAAATGCATCCAGAAACGGATGGAGACTGAGAGTGGGCATCCAGGACAAAGTGGAAGGTTTCAGGATGGATTGAAAGGCTCAAAATGCCTTCATAATCTTCATATTCTGAAATATTATTTTGATGGCTTACGTTCCACATTCTCCCAGTGTCTTCCATGGATCTAGATGGGCAGGCTGAGCCTTCTCTTAGATTTGGGAACCTTGAGGTGTTGACAAGTTCACGACCTAACACCGCTGCATTTAATTGCATTTGACCCTTGGATTACTTAGGCAGCCTCAGGGCTGGTGACATTCAGACCGTACGTACTTTATCTCGAGTGTGTGCGTGTACATGTACCATTGTTATACGGAATGGCCAAGAATCGGGTGGCTGGTGGCAAAGCGGGCGCCAGCTCAGAGGGAACCACGCCGCAGGCCACGCTCAGCTCGCAGGTCGTCGTGGGATCCAAGACCGAGAAGCCTTAGAAACAGAAAACACCAAGACCATGAAGTGATCAATACAAAAAGCATCCAAGACCTTCAGGGACTCAAGAACTGGAAATGAGAGAGAAGAAAGAAGACAAAAGGTCTAAGTCTATATAAAGATTCTGTAGGAAAAAAAGATGATAGAATGGAAAAAACAGCGTGGCACCAAGTCTCAATTCTCGCCACTCCTATATATATATACCCTGTGACCCAGTACCCAGTTCTTTCAGCCAAGGGGCTGGGCGTCTCTGAAGTATAGTCCACAGCGGCCTGGGGCTGGAGAGATGAGTCCAGATTTACATCGGGACCAGGTACATGCCACTGTGCACCTCGCGCCCTTCCCCGTATAAGACCTGACCGCAGAATCGGACCTTGAAACCTTACACAAGTCAAGGCCACCCACCTGTCGATATCATTCCATGTCATTTCGCGCAAGCTCTTGCTGGTCCTGCATACCATTCTCCTCCGGCAAGGGGTGGAAGGCTGTGCTCACCCCATCCTCAGGAAACTCAAGTTCATTCAAAACAGGCTGCAATCGCTATTGTAGCTTCACAGAGGGCAAAAATTAATGCCCAAGTCCTCCAAGTCATACATGTAAGGTAGATATGCTCAAGATAATAATAGGTTTCTTGTTCTTGCTGGAAACTAAAATCCACGTGAAATCCGCAATAGCTGGTGCCATCAGTAATCTTCTTCCAACGAGCAATCATTACGGTGTTTGCCTCGCGAAAGGCCATGTCCCAAAAATGTGGGACACCAGGACACCCATTTTGTCAGCGCGCCAGCGTGAAATGCTTTTCGGCGCTCCCTCGGCCCGGGCGGACCCGGCAGCGCGAGCCAAAACAGAGCCGAGGAAGCAACCAGTGGTGGAAGCTGGACAACTTGCAGGTGATGATCCAAGCATAATGGAATGCCAATGGGTATATAACAGTTTCTCAGTTTCTCCATCTTTCTTCCTCAAGAAACGGAACTTTTCAGCAACCTTCCACCACGTCCAAGAACTCTCCGACCATCAACAACTGTTGACTTTGGTACAGTTCAGTTCAACCATCAGGGCAAACAACTGGGCGTCTGCCGAATAGCACACAACTATATGAAGGTTTCCTTTCTGAAAGTTTACCTTGAACAGAATCGCTTTCCAAATCGGAGCCACCAGTTGGGTGAAAAAGTGAACATTCAACCACGGTCAAGAGTGGCGGGGCTCACGGCCGTGGGCTTTGCTTTCGGATCAGCACATCTCGGCGATCCTCAGGCAGCGTTTCAACTTCTCCCATTCACCCTTCTCTTCCTCGGTCCATGCGTGAGCATTGCCCTTCTCGAGCATCTTCTTACACATCTTGACCTGGACACCCTTGACGGCCGTCTCGCAAACGTCTTTCCACTCAGAGCGAGACAGCATGCCGTCACGGTTACGCGTCAAAGCTTTTCATCAAGTCCTCCTTGGTCTCGATGCTGTCATCCACGTCTTGCACCATCTTCAAAATCATGTCGGCGCAACCACCCAACTCCGACACCTTCACTTTGCCATTTTCATCCCGGTCGATGCGGAAGAACATTTCCTGCAGAGTGGGTTTCATGGAATCACAATTCTCAGCGTTGCTGCAGCCCTGCGTCAACATCTCCAACACTGAGCGCTTTGGTGCTGGCTTGGAGACGGTGGTGGGACTACCACTGACAAGGCTGGTCTTCTCAAGCTGAGCCATTCCCTGCTTCAACTTCTCCTGATCCTCGGGACTCAGCTCTGCATGGACCTTCTGCACCTCTTCAACCGTGGCTTTGGCCAACTCGGCGGAAGCTCCGGCGCCCATGGCGGCAAAGGCAATGGGCGCAATCGACGGTCTGCCGATGCCGTCTCCACGAACGGCTTGAGGCTTGAGATCTTCACTTTGAGTTGGTTCCACAGTGAATACGAAACATGGAGCCCATTTCATGTCCAATTTCATCACTGATAAGTTGCTGATGCCCTGACCCTTCTTGGCAAGACGAAGAAGCTCGGAGGAGCTCAGAGAGCTAGTCCAAAGGCTAAAAACCGATGGAGGCCAACCCACATCACGTAAATAAGTCAATATAGAACAACAAAATATAGACATAGATAATAAATAAATCCATTTTTTGTAAAGAACTGACATGTGTCAAGAGGGGTAGGCGGGGTCATTGATTCTGTAGAGTTTGAGATGGTTAAGTTTAGTTATGCCAATTTTGAATGTCATATTTGCAAGCAGGGGGGTTGATTCTGAAGAAGTTTGAGCTGAGGATCTTAATGTTGAAAAGAAAACACGAAGACATAGTTTGAGCATCTTCGAGTGTAGCATACATTGCTGCGTAGACATGCTCAAGCTTGTGCAAGCTCTCTCTGAAGCTTGAAAAAACACATATTACCAGATGATAGCTGTAAGAGATTATATGAATTTATATAATACGTTTGATATCGTTTGAATTCGTTTGTTGTTGTGAGAAATCTATAGGCATCTATGGACTGTTAAGTCTTCTGAACGGGTTTGAATGTAGACAGTGCACATTTGTGGGTTTTTTGTGGACATTTTTCTAGAGGATGATGGGAACATTATTCTGTACAAAGCATGTCGTTTTGCATGTGGCGGATGCAATTTTGTAAACCGTTTTTTTCCCAGAAATGTGTTCGGGGCTGCCCTCGATATTTGGATTTTGTAGTACGTTTTGATGTGTTTGTCGACATTCAGGGTATTGACTCTGTAGAATTTTTTTGGTTCGGGGCGGGGGGGTGAGTTTGTAATTAGATTCAAGCCTGGGACATTGATGGGTAGGGTTGGAAATGTTCAGACATATATGTGCATCATAGAGCATCCAACACAACGTCCGTTCGTGTACGTTAGTAAGGGGCTGCCTTCAGCCTTAACCACAATATTGGAAAGCTCAACGCCCCGGAATTTGCCAAAACCCGCTTGAACCCTCATGTTCCCCAGCCCTGGCCAGTTACCAGGCACCCGCAGGACCTGCTGTATTGGCTGAAGACTGCAGAGGCATAGTAAACACCCCCTCCGTCGAAGCCCTGCTCTGCACCAATGCTGCTTTGTCTCAGGCCCCATGGAGAAAGAGAGGGTGCCCATAAGACCAGATCCAGCAAAGCGGTCAAAGAAGGCCGCAATGGCACCAAGCAAAGCGCGGTTGCCCTTCTCCTAGCCGAATTGCTTGCTTGAGCTCACATTGCATGGCTTTAGCAGTGATGTTCAAAGCTTGTGACTGTGTACATTGACCCGGCCATGATCCTTTGAGTTGATGTATTTAAACCCTGCCTGCTTGCCATCCTCGTTCACGAAGACCGAGCAGCGGAGAACCTCACAAGTTCGTTATTCAATTTTAAAGGCATACATCCACATGTCCCCACTTCATCTTGCAGCTCAAGCACATGTAGCACCATCAGTGTCCAAACCACAGTAGGATATCCACCCTCCTGGTGATGAGAACGTCTTCGGAAAAAGAACTACAGTAAGGACCTCGCTGGGACACACACCCCTTGGACTTCGCGCCATGGTCGTGACGATCTGCTCTTCAATCAACTTCGACCCAATTGATTGCCAACAGGCATCTATCATCAAACGTGATGTTCAACAATAGTTGCGCATCTAGGTCAAGTCATCCAAGCTTTCACGAATTCCTCACTGGTGAAGATGTCGTTCATCTGTGCAACCATGTATATATATATATATACACCGTATATTGGTCTGGTCATGACTGTTCGTTTTTTTTGCTCATATGAACCACCTTGGACACAGGGATGCTTCTGCGACGCAGCCACCACTTGATGCAGCGCAAAGCTGTCGCCTCCAAGCTGGCGAGGGAGTGGGGGGGGGAATGAGGCCCGCATCATCTCCAAAGGACATATGGTGCAAACGGTGCAACTTCAGTCCCAACCGCGCCCGCACGGGCACTTTTTTGTATGATCCCCCACCCATTGGCCTCCAGCCCTGCGGACCAGTGCTCCTTGTCCTCGCGGGACGGCACGACTCTTGAGCTTGTGCAGACATGACCCTCTCCCGCGACAACCCCCGGAAGGTAAAAGGAGCTGCCCAGTATCCAAGTTCGTATGCCGCCGCGCGCAGCATGCTTGGCCATTGGGCTGACGGTGGATTTGAACTGGTGTCTCTCGCATCTTGAGAAAATGTATCCCGCCAGCTCAGTGCCCCATTCCCCTCTCTAACATTCCCTGGCTTCACATCATTGCGGTTGCGCCTCCCCAATGGGAGGAGGAAGTGTCTCCAAAGGATAGGCAAAAGGATCCCACTGCCAGAGGCTTTGGAACCAAAGCCTTGGAAGGCGCTCGGAGAACCAAAGATGGACAGCCCATTAGGAAACTTCGTGGTACCAAGTCGCACATGCCATTCACCCAAGGGTTGATCAACGGTGAGGTCCTCAGGAAAATGAAAAAATGCAATCAGGCACAAACCTCAGTGAAACTCCCCAAGTCACACGTTCCCCTTGAAAAGTCGGTTTTAAATCTCTGCTTCCCTTTAGGCTTCCCGTGGTGGCGCCTAGTTTGCCACGGTTGAGAAAAACTATAGAAAGCCTCGGCGTGTTTTTGTGTATGCGAGTCTGGCCACACCGATGGCCAAGTCTCCAAGGATAGGCGCCCATCTTCAGACCTTGTAGGTTTGGGGACAACGCACCCCTTCTTACTTGCAATCACTGGTGCTTTGGCTACTAAGGATGCACATGAATACAAAAATCACATATATAACTAAGTGTACTTGACACAGTAGGTCGCACGATTGAATTGAGAGAACTTTGCTGTTCTTCCATCGGCGGCGCAGCAGATCGCGGCAGGGCTTGAGAGAAGCAAGTGAGCCCCCCGCAACACCGTCAGCACTGGCACACGAGCGCAATCCACAAGTTGCAGCTTCAGCGCCTGCCGAAGTTGCTTGTCCAAAGCAAACCCGCTTCACAAGCTAGCAACATTCAACGGGTTGTTTCGCTGCTCTCAGTGAAAACACTCTTCAGTTAAAAAGTCTCCTGTGGCTCACCCTAAGACGCGAATCCTCAGGCTTGGCGCCAACTCTGCTGTCCCAAGGCCAAACGTAAAGAATCACTACATCATGTCGCATCAAGATTGTTTGGGTGCTTGGCGGCCTCCTCTTTCTTCAGAAAATCAGTGATCTTGCGCAAAGCTTCGACAGGTTCCAGTCTCTCCTCTCCTTCTTGATCATTCCCAGTGCCTCGGTCTAAAACCAAAGGACCGTGTATAACCACTCTGGGTTGGCACCAGTCAGTATATAACTCTTAAAACCACAAGTTGAGGGGAACAAAGCAACCACTCCGCCCACCTGCTGGCCTTTTTCCTCCGCAAGTGCCTGGGCCGTCAGTTTGATCATTTCTTGCCCTTCCTTCCGTCCTCCTTCTTTTGGGAAAGCTTTTCAGCCAGGACTTGCTTCACGCATTTCTGCTCCTCAATCAGAAAGGCCCGCACAATGCGTGAGCGCACGCACGTCCTGAGTCTGCCACAGGTATCTGCACTTACAAACCCCGTGCAGTCAGCAACTTCAGCAAACGTTCTCGTCAAAACCGTACCTGAATCTTTCATGACAAAGCAGCCAGCAATCTTCTAGTTCTTTCTACAAAGGATATTAAGTCTCAGCCCATTTTGGACGAAGCTTCGCACAGCGGGATCCCCCATACGCACGGTTGACCCGCTTCTCGCGCTTTTTCAGCCTGGAGCTGTGTGGCCAATGAGTGGGAGACCTACAGACCTCAAGGTCTCAGGAAACGTTGAACAAGACTGCGGTGGACAGTTTCAGGGAGGTAGACAGACTCATTTACATTCATGTTCAAAGAATCCAGTCCTGGCATACTCAATGGGACGCAAGCAAGGGAGACCAATGAGAGCCTTGCCACCTGAGATCAAGACTGGCCCTAAGTCTTAACAGCGTGGTTGTCACTGTGGTACTGGCAGTGGGTCGTCTGTGGGTAGCCAAACGATGCCAAACAGCTTGCAACTATGAAGAACCATCTGCGATGTTTAAAGTCACCGCAGCATCACACAACGGCCATGGCAGCAATTCATGACTCTGACACCTGCTCCTAGGCTTGCTTCCAAGCTGCAGTCACCACAATGAGGACCCTTTGCTGTCTTTTTCACACTCTGGAACACGGCGCGGCCACCTGGAGTCTTCACAATGCGCCTGAGCTGTCAAGGCTTGACAAGCCTGAATCTGCTAGCATCTCAATTGATTTCACGCGGCAGTCAACCTTTCGATTCACAAGCCCACACACAAATTACCACAACAGAAACTCCGACACATACTCCATCAATCTTGCCAGTCCAGAGTCTAGACGCCTCTGGACAGAGAAGACAACAGGCCGTTTCACCATCACCAAGCTGCTGCTTGTTGGACTTGGTGTTGTAGCGGCACTGCCGCCGGTACGTCAAGCGAAAGGCCATTGCTCACTGTTTCCCGCGGCTCGGACCCAAGCGGCTGAGGCATCAGCTCAAACGTCTACCAATCAGAAGGGAACGGGACCCTGCTGGCAAGCCCGTAAGAATTTCATAGATCCAGGCTATCACTCGCTTGGGTGCTCAATCATTGCAATAGCAACAGCACAATGCTGCACAGGAATGCGCCCCCTCTGCCCACGTTGCTCTTGCAGCTCAGTTGCGGGTATAAACAACTACATCCAGGTCCGAGTCGGGCGTATCAATTCGCAGCGCGGTGCTGCCAATCAGCGCCATCCTGCCATCTCCAAACACTTCTGACGGTGCCACCACAGAGGCATGGCCCTCCCGTGCCTCGCGAAGTGATCACCCAACGCAGACTTGGCGGCACCTCGGTTCCAATCATTCAAGCGTCAAGACAAAATGGCTGGCCTTCATGATAGTGAATGCCTGCGCCTCTGGCCGAGAAGTAGGGGTTCGACACAGAGTGTATACTGAATGCCATTGGTGTGCATACAGAAACCTGATCCACTTTCTGGGATGAAACAAGTTTACACACGGTCCTAGGAAAAGGATGCACTTTAATTCTTGCAAATCTGTGCAAATCTCAAAGCACTACTTACAGAAGGATTGCCATGCTGATTGCACTACCCGCATGGGGCGGAAAGGGGGGGTCATTGGGATTGGAGCGATCACGTGCCGCCGTGTCACCACAAACCTTGTCATAGAGCTGCACGCGTGCCGGGTAGCGTGCCATAGTTGCTGAGCGCATGAAATCCAGGACACCTGCGGCGTATGAAAGCTAACAAAGGCCTTCATTCAGCCCCAGTGGACCCTAGACCATGGCATCAATAGATGAGGCCTGAACAGCTCAAAACCCCAAAACATGCAAAGCCAACACTCGGGAATGGACTCACATCAGTTGATGCTTCCAGGACTTCACAACCATGAGCTGTGCTCCTGGCCTTCAATACTGGCTTCTGCCGATCTCTGGCGAGAGAACGGGATTGGACTTCCTGCCAGTCCAGAGCTTCAGCAACACACTTGAGGCAAAGGGGCTAGTGCGACAAGTTTCAGGTTGAACAAATGCATCAACAAGCTGAAAGCGCCATCGCCTCCAGCGCAGTCACTACATGTAGTGGATGTCTCCTCCTGGCTTGGACCGATCATCGGGCGCCGACTACACCATTATATACAACATGAATTCAGCTCGCGGAAGACCGGACTCTCCAAACAATAGAACTTCTTAGACAAACACAGAGGAGACCCAAATGTTGGGAAGAGGAATGATTGCTGTCTTTCAACCATGTGTTTCGTTGGGTCCGTCCACAGAATTGGATTATTGTTCGTCTGTTGGTGAGGAACTTCAGCTCAACTCCTCAGCTGCTAAAGCTAGGTCCTAGGTACAAGCAAGCATGAAGCAATTTAAATCAGACGTCTCTTGCATTGGCACTCTTGGTAACAAGAACCGGTGGTGTGAACCCAAAGCTTTTTCATGTTGTTATGTCTCATTCCTATATTCATAGATGATACGAGTACATATACGTGTGTGTGTGTGGGCGCGCGCACCATATCCGCTCCTTCTCATCGTGTGCAGCTGATGGGTAAAATACATCATAAACGGCTCCATCAGGACCGATCAAAGTTTCATCTCCCCACCTGCACTGCCAATGGTAGCAAGGCTTGGGCCATGGATATTCTCTGACAGCCTTAAACACCTACAGCTGCGAATCAGGAATCCAACGAACCGAAGCCCTCGGTCGCCAATTCTGGCTGATTCCGCGTGTGCCATCGGTCTGGATCATCCGAGAAACTGTGATGGGGAGCTGGCGCCGCACTCACTCCAAGGTTCCAAGGAGTAGTCTGAGTAGTCGCTGTAGAAGCTAGTCTGGTCTCCTGAGCATGGGAAAGCCGTGGTCTGTCAAAGTGTTAAAAGTAACATGCTTAGTCAACCTCTTTGTCTTCATGTGTGTAGGGATTTGGGCTTAAACCATTCACAAGCAGCCTGGCCACCTAGACTCGCACCTTTCCACGACCCTTGGACCCTTGACAACCCATCATGAACGATTCTTTAAAAATGAACCAACGATATATATATATATATATATGTGTGTGTGTGTATACCTAATATATAGCCTACTGCGCTAGTGCGGCCAAATGGCCACACTCCTGAACGAACCGCCGATGAAGCTGTGGCCTACTGTTTTCCTTTACGGCCGAGAAGCCTGGCCAAACCCAAGCCGTCTGCACCGGCTGAAGCCTCAGAAAATAGGCCACCGGGTCCACCAATCCACCAAGTGATATCAGCCCGGGCCGTAGACTCACCTGTGGAGATATGACATAATATGAGATAGTTATTTTCTCTGAGCTTGTGTGGCTCAACTCGCATGCGATATCCCTCTTGATGGGACCATGGAAGTACGAAAAGCCTGGCCGGCTTGTCCCAAAGGCCAAAGGCAAAAAGCCTTTGGGCTCGACTCGCTCGACATGCGGCATGGCGAGGAGTTGCTCTCCCGCGTTGACTGGTGGAGACGCCTGGCAGCACGAAAAGTCATAGATTGAATTGAGAATTCAAACGCCATCTATACAAATCAAATCATATCAATCTACTCTATATATATATATAAATATCAATACATATGAATACAGCAATCAGCTGAAAGGCTGCTGGGCCACAACACAGCAACTGGTCGCGCAAAAGCCCGCCCAACCGGGGTGGGTTCTCTGTTTCAAAGTGGCCCACGAAAATCATGCACAATGGCATGCTCGTTGCGCACCTCCAGCTGCCCCATCAATGATCCAATGACCTTCTGCCCATGACAGGCTTCGCCTTGGATGGATACCGCCACCAGAAGCTACAACGAGTTGACTCAGTGACGATACAACTGCTCAACTGGTGCCAGGGCATGGTGTGGCAAGTGCGTAACGCTGAGTGGGGAGCACAACGGTCTTGCTACTAGGAACAGCAGCAAGCATGTTGGCGTGCCCTTCATGGTTGCCAAGCAACAGCTGTGTGCACCACAGCCACAGCGTGCCGCTTCTGCCTGCACGGTGATGCTATGCCAAGCAACTGGCCCACACAAATGCGATATGCGGTCCAATGCTTAGTCAACCTATATAAAGAATCTGCTACCGCATCACCGCATCACCAAGGCCTCTGGCACAATGATGCGCATCTTCACTTTTCGGAAATGTTCGATGGGCTGGAGTCGAGGGAGGTTCTCGTGATGTATCCAAAAGCGTCCCAAAATGTTCAAAACCTTTCTCTATCTTGCACTGTTGGAATTTGGTGCATCAAGTAATTAGCTCGTAAAGGCCAATTGAAATGCAAGGTTTCACATGCCATCTCTCTGACTCCATCCCATCGAGTACGAACGCTGCTCTCTTCCGGTTTGGTCCAAAATGACTGGTGGGCAAGGCCGCCTATGCGCATGAACAAAGTCGCCAATCAAGCTCATCTCCTTCGCAATCCATCCGACTCTCCCACGTCTCTTTTGGCGTGCCTAAGTCCACGTCTCTTTTAGCATGCCAATGCCTAAGGAAGTTGCCTACGTGCTGACAGCCTTAAGCCATCCGAGGAGAAGCTTCAGCATGATCACAGCCCATGAGCAGGGCCAATCTTGGATGCGCTCAGCATTCTCCACACATCCTGGAGATGCAAATGCTTATTGTTATTGGAAGTCGTAGCGGCTATCCTCAGAATCTAAAAATACGGCTATGTATATAAGTAGTTTTAAATCCAGGTTCTGACTGTGATCATGCCGTCTGAGCACTGTCGGGTGAGTTTGGGCAGCAAAATAGCTCGGGAACCGAGGCTGGGCTGATTGAGACGATGCACACAACCTGCCCTGTTTCTACCGGTCCCTGAACCTTGCAGGCCCCGCACCCTCAGTGCTCCGAACTATAGCTTGCCTGGCCTGCTGGCCTGATCCAAACACGTGTGTGAGATCCAACACGCCACTTTGTAGTTCAGGCATTTCTTAATGAATGTGCTTCAAGTTACCCGGAACAGTGGTTGGCAATTCTGTCCTTTGGGTAACTTTGGCTTGTGACCCTCCCCTACGAAACTAATTCAGTCTCGCTGAAGAGAAAAGCCATGGGCTTTAGGGAGCACTCAGGAATCAAACAAAACAAACACAGTGGCCATCAGCGGGCATGAGAATGCACTGTGGCCATGAACTTTTGGTATGAGCTGCCTGCTTCAAATGGCGGTCGGGGGCCGTTGTGGCCTCTCCAATCATATCCAGGGATTAGCGGAATGGGCGAGCAGCGTCTTAACATCATATGGGCAAACAAAGACACAGCAACCGGTCTGCAAAGGGATCCAGTGCCCTCACCGCAGACCAGTGAAGGTCCTTTTCGTGGAAACTCGCAACCACCAACTCACACCACCACGTGGATGTCGTGTATGTGTGTAGGGCCAACACGCTCATCCGGTACCTGCGAAAAAGAGCGAACTCCTTGTGAGCATACCTGCTACATGACCTCATGGTCCCCTAAACTGTGTCCAAAGCAGCGCGTGTGATGTTTTGGCGACTCTTGACAGCAAAACCGACGGCACTTCCAATGAATGTTTCATGCGCCATGCGCTAAATGACTTTGTCCGAGGCAACATTTGACCTGGGTGGAGCCACCAAAGAAATGGAGCCGCAAGGATCAGGATGCAGGATCTCAATCTCAACAAAAAGCATTCAAAAAAGCAACAGACCTGTTTGGCCGAAAACTAGACCAAAGGGTGGACCGAATGGCCCAGGCGGTATGTATAACATATAGCATACATATATATATATACATATATACTGTATGACTGTGTGTATACATGTTTATATATATATATGTGTGTGTGTCTATGAACAATAAGTACAAATTGCATAAAATTTGCAGTATGCATTGTTTATTTGTTCTTTCTTTTGCTTACTGCGCCGGGACACCACACGGAAATCACCTCCTGACTCCTGACCCGTAGAAATAAAGCTTTGGGACAAAATCGCCACGTCCACCTCCCAGATCTCCCCTTTACTCAGCTTGTTGAAAGACCACGCATGGAAAGGTGGAGCACACCTAAAACATGCAGCGAAGACTCAGGTTCCATCCGCTTAGTGGGGATATTTCTTCGCGCACGACGTTCGCATGTTGAGACGCCGCCTGTGCCGTGTGTGCCCCAGATTCTTCTCGAATTCACCAGAAGGGGTGCGCGGGCACCCAATCGAGCTGTTCTGACTTCCTGCTTCAGTCCACCTCCCCCATGGGACGGTTGGCCTTTTCATGTCGCCCCAAACAACGAATGGCGTGGATATAGATCTGCAGTGCCAAGTTCTGGTCAGAAATCTTGGCGTGCTCGTAAAGTTAAATGATTTTGCAAATGCTCAGTTAAAGTTATGTGTGTCTTCAATGAGTCTTTATGGCTTGATTCCCGGCCTCATGTCAGTTTTTGAACTCTTGTTCTGAGTGATTGTGACGGTTACGGTTACCGTTACGGTTACGGTTACGGTTACGGTTGCTGCTGCTGCTGCTGTTGCTGTTGTTGTTTTTGTTATTATTGTTATTGTTGTTGTTGTGGTTGTTGTTGTCGTTGTTGTTGTTGGTAGAGACAAAAACAGCCGCCCAACATAGTTGTCACATGTTGCAAGTCAGGGATTTCAATGGGATTCTGTTAGGGATAGGGTCGAAGGTTTGGAGAGATGTTAGTAGCTGGACTTCTTGTCGTTGTGGTACTCAAGTCTTGGTTGGTCTGCTTCTTGTTTTTTGTTGTGTTGTTTTGGGGGGGGTCAAAAAACAACAACGGGGTTGCAGATTTTGTTTCTAGGGGGGGGTAGAGACAACAACATCTCTTGGAAGGGGGGGTCCAAAAAACAACCACGGGGTTGCAGTTTTTGTTTCTAGGATGTGGTAGAGGTTCTAAGTAGAAGTTTTACAGGGTTTACTTAACCAGTTACAATAAGCATCACCAGTAGCATGACCCTCAGAGGAGTTTCATAGACCCTAAGAAGGCGTTTAAATCGACCATCTTGTTCCATTGGAATCCAAAAACATCCAGGAGTCCCCAAGAAAAGACTGATTTTCAGTGCATAGATTGAGAACCGGGTTTCCACCCCCTCCGCCTCCGCACACGCCCCGCGCACTGTCCACACGTCCCGGGTGGGGGGTGTCTACCACTAATATTAGTAGCACTAGTACCACTAGTAGTAGTAGCAGTAAAAAGTGCTCGTTGTCTGGTTGTTTTTGGGGGGGGGTTCAAAAAACAACGACGGGGTTGCAGAATTTGTTTCTACTCCCTTGTAGAGAAAAAGAAAGAAGATGTGGTGTAACGGGGTTGCAGTTTTTGTTTGTACCTTGTTGTTGTTGTTGCTGCTGCTGTTGTTGTTGTTTTGCTGTTGTTGTTTTGCTGTTGTTGTTGTTGTTGGTGGTGGTGGTGGTTGCTGTTGCGTTGCTGTTCCAATCTACATGGCAGGCAAATGTCAACAAGATCTACGATTTACGTATGATGTGAACAAACAATCAGGGCTCCAGAATTCAGAATTGCATATTTATTCTGCATCTGATCGAAACACATGCAACGAATCGTGAATCGGCGGGAACGATAAGCCGCGCTGCAGCTTTTCTTCAAAGAAAGCTGGCTCTGTGTACACCTAAGCCGAAATGCCACCGAGCCGCATTCCACTCACGCGCATGCCTCCCCATGAGGCTGGTCTTGAAACTTCACACTCGTGTTTTTCTTTTGAGTGGAATGCCTCTCAGCCGACATCTCGCGGAGCTGGATCCAAGGTCGTCGCAGCCATTCGACGAATGTCATGACCAGCTTGTCACTCAGCTTTGTGAGCGTGTCCGCCCATTGAAGGGTTGTTGGGACCCAGCGCACGTCCACCTGCTGTTGGATTGAACGAATCACCACTATCGTTCTTTTATCCTCTGTGCGAGGGTTCTCGCTCACCAGCACGTCATATAGCGACCTGCTCCTCAGCGTCTGCGTGAGCTGAAGGGAGGGCTTGTTCTGGATGATCTCGCTGATCAGGTGAGCCATAAATGAAGCTCTGTCAACTCCAGTGTCACATGCGCTGGCCTCTGCAGTGAGCGTCGATCCCCACACTCTGGCGCTTCTGCTCGACTTCCAGTCGATCAGCAGGCTTGGACCCGTGCTATCTGTGACCTTGGGGTCTGCAAGGGGCAGTAGGTTGCCGTGCTGGCTTGCCGATACCTCGGCATTTGCCCATCAGGAGTCTGAGTAGCTCACAATGAGTGTCTGTGAGCTCAGTGGCACAGGCCACATGTTGACTCCAACATCCTGGGTGGCACGCAAGTGCTTGACAGCCTCGCAGAGCGTCTGGGGCTCCTTGTAGGTGCTTTTGGCGCCCTTCAAGCATAAGGACACTGTGCTCGGACATCAGGCCTACACTTGCCGGCAAGCCATTGCAAGCACCCTGCCACTGACCTGAACTCGGCCATGTCTTCCGGCAGCAGCTTTTCTTCAACTTTTTTTTTTGCACTGCACATTTCCAACCTTCATGCCACTGATGAACTGTTTCTGGGTCAGTGCGAGGAAGCTGGTATTGCCATCACGCTTCAACGAAATCTCCTTGCCCTTAAAGGTGAGGCTGTTGCACTCTGTCAACTCTTCCTGCGCACCCCACTTGAACAAACTAAGCAACGCCTGTCTGTCCCAACGCTCGTTGTGCGTGAGGAGGAAGTCATCAACGTAAGCCACAACTATGGCTGCCCGCGAAGGGCGCTCATCTCCAGGAAGCCGTGTTGTGAGAGTGAACAACATGCGATCCAATGAACGCTGTCTGAACCCTGCTTGGGTGAGGATCTTCACAACATGGGGACTCCATGTTCTGGGCGCTGAGGCCAGGCCGCAGACGTTGAGGAACAAGGGAAGCCTGCGCTGGTCAGGTGTTCGTTGGAGGAACGCTGTGTTGACGTCCCCACACCAAAGCAACCAACGGTCTCCGCTGCCCAACAACATCCTGTTGTAGCCGCAGATGAAGAAGGCAAACAGGGTGTACTGACTTTGCCTTGTTGGCGTGGCTGACTCTCTGCATAGTTGCGCAGGTCTGGGTCATTGTGGCCTAATGCCACGACTCTTGTTTGGACTTGTCCCTGTAGGACGCTCTTGCACGAAGGACCTTCTTCTTGAGGGCAGGGTCGTTCAACACTTTTGCCGCTTGGTCATCATCTAGCGGCAGTACCGAGTCGAACTGTTGCCAGCTGGCTTCTTCTGCCTTTGC